ATTGTTACATAATAAATAAAACAAAATAATCATAATAAAGAAAAAGAAAAAAATATTTACAATTTATTTACATTCACTATTTATTTAGGCTCAGTCCCATCTGGTAATAAAAATCAAAAATAAAATTTAATTAAAAATTGTATTTTATGTATATGTGGAACGCTAAATATGATTTTCAGTTTTGTACATATCTAATTAATAACATCTAAGTTGTCTATTAAATGTTTCTCCTCTTTATTTGAATGATACCATTGGATAAAACAATATTTATTAAATGACAAATTATCAATAACTTCAAAAAAGAATATTTTCAAAATTTTTGTTTCTTAATCCTGCATTCATTTAAACTAAGGCATGTAATGAGTTAGATCCGCATTGAATTAAAGTAATATCAATGGATATGAATTAAACTAAAAATTATAATAATTCTATTTTGAATTTATAATTCTTTCTGCTGTTAATTATTCTTCATTTGAATAGTCTATCTTATTGAAGTCACATGATGTTTTATTTTTTTAAGACATCAGAAATCTTTTCCTTACTAACATCATACCATTTCTATTCGTTCTCAACTTGTTCTAAATTCACTCCTTGAAAAATGAGTTATTCAATTTTTTTTGATTTCCATCCACAAAATAAATTATATAAATATTTTGAGATGATTCTCTAGGTGGTACAATCCTAAACTTTCTCCTTTCGAAATATTTCTAAAATAACACCAAATATTTGTTCGTTGATATCTTTAACGAAAGCACAGATGTCAGCTATAGTTTTTTTCTCTTAGTAGGTGCAATTCATTTTCTTTTTATATATTTAATATTAATTTTTATTACTCAAACTTTTTATACAGAAATCATTAAAAGTATCTTATGTATTTTTGTAAAATAGAAGTTCATTCTTTTGGATATTTGGAATTTATTATAAATGAGGAAAAATATGCTATTGAGAAATCAATTCGATATTAGAATTGCTTGATTCTTAAATAATATAGAATAACTTATAATTATATGAATATTATAAATTTGAGTTCTATGATTAACTGATTCATTTTTCTTGTTAATCTTCTCTCTTTCAGCATAAATAATAATTGTAATTTTCCAGCTTAATATTAAGAGATTGGAATATATCTGAAATAAAATCAGGTTTACTCATAAAAAAATGTAAAATTCATATTGAATAAGATGGTAAAGTTAATTTTTTATTTAGAGTTTAAAAGTGAAAAGAGTAGATCTTTTCTAATTAGTATTAATAATTTTGAATAGTTTGTTCTAGTATTTCCTTAAATAGCTTTCTTCTCTTCCTATACCTTAAGTGGCAAATGGGGTTTTGCTACCCCCTTGGAGGTAATAGAGAGGAGTGGAAGTAAAGGAGGATTCCGAAGGAGAAGGAGGGGAGAAGTATGAGGAATTATAATTATTCGAAGAATACAAAAATAATGTTGATTAAGGAAAATTGAATTTCTAAAATTAAGTATAATATTTTCTAAACAACTTTAAGATTAAATCAAGTTTAAAAAAAACGAATTTCTATTAATAAATAATTATAAAATATTTATAAACCTTATTGATAAAAGGTGAATAATTGATTAAGTATAATTTTGTAATTATCAATAAAAAACATACTTATATATCCATAAACAATAATAAATATCATTGATTTTCTTCTTCTTATATTTAATTTGTTCTATTGATTTCTTATCCAAGTAATCTAGTATTGAAGGGGGTTAATTTCATTTTTATAGAGTTGACAAATTAGATTACTATAACATTAATATATTATGGATATGTATGATATACTTTTATTCTTCAATTTCTCAAAAGATTTGCTTTTAAATATTTAATATAAATTTTTGGTAATTTCTTAATGAATACATTTAATTTTGAGATCTAGATAATGAATTGATCAAAAATGGATACAGTTTTAAGAGCTAAAAAATAACGAGGGATATTATTTTTTTCTAAATATTAATTAATGTATTTAAAAAAATCTTCAAGGTAACATTGATTATACATTAAGTAATAACTGTTTATTATTTGATGTATGTAAAATTTCATGTTGAGCTCAAGTTAATCAATAATTAAGATTCATATATAATACTGTTAGAGAAGATATAATAGTCTTCTTAAATCTTAATAATTACAAAAATATACTACTTTTTTAATATGTTTTCAAAGTTTTATAATATCTTATCAATTAACAGCCGATTGATACATTATCTTGAGGAGAGAGTAGGTACATTATTATTAATTATACCTATTAAGACTTATGTTTATAAATAGTAATAAATTCAATAAATTATCAGAATATCTTATGAAATAATCATGCAGTTAGTTTTCAATTAAGTAATTAAAATTAATCTTTATTTTAATCACTTCAAATCTGTGCATACTGTTCTCTGTTTGTATTATTAATTTAATGTAGTATCAATTAACATTAAATCTCTATAAATGTTAATTAATATCAGTTTTTTTTAAGGAGATCTCAATCAATACATTTCATTAAAATGGAATACTTTTGAAAAATTTGTATGAATCTTAAGAAATAAAAATAAAGAATAGAGCAAATAAAAAAAGAAATAATTAAAAAAATATAAAGAATGAATTAAAATAATAATTTTTGTAATGTTCTTTATGAATAATAATTATCACTTTTACTTAATGTCTTCCAAAAAGCAACTACCTTTGGATTTCAATAAAGGTTTCAAATCTATTCCTTAATGGTTTATAAATTCTCCTTATAATATAAGTGTA